TATAGGTCTGAAAACATAATGGCTTAGCCTAGAATAGTAATTCAGGTAAACAGGTAGACCATCCAAGATACAACTTGTTGCTTTTAGTATAAAGTACAGTTACRATGCTTTTAGTATAAGTTTTAAGTATAAGTTACGATAAATTGCTGTAGCAGGGTATCATGAAGAAGGTGTAAAAGATGAATGTTTGGAGCACTTGGAGGTTCATGTGAATTGAGCKGATGATTAAATCAAGAGGAATATACTTCGTTCCTTGGAATACCAAGTCAATGCAATGCTGTGCTAAAAAGACAAAGGTGATTTTTCCGTAGGCTAAATCATTTCCTATATTAACTCTATTTTCCACTTCCTGGTTGCAAGAAAGCAGTGAAGTACTTTTGAAGTACTTAATTACCTTATTATGCAAAAGAGCCTTTTCTGCTTTTGTTTCCCCCCATATTGATTCATGATATTCACTGACTCTGCGAAACACATTCCAGGATCAGATTCCTTGTTTCTTTGACTACATCTCAATTCCTATGCCAGATTTCAGGGGAGCTTTAATATCTCAGAATAAATGCCTCATTTCTATCGTTGCTGTAAAAAATGTAAAAAAAAAGCGCTGTGAAGTCAGTGCCACAAACTCCAGCTCTTTGCACGTTTTCACTAGAAGGTTTTAAGTTTGGTTTTGTGCAACTAAATGGGAGYTGGGATTTGCCTTGGGTAGAGGCAGGTTCCCGTTCCTGTGCAGGGAGCAGTTCTTGCTCAGCTGGGGCGGGATTTCTGTGTCTGCAATCCATGATTCGAGCAGAAATCCAGCCTTGCTGGTTTGAGGTGAAGTCCAGGGCTCCCACACAGTGCTGCAAAATAGAACTAATATTTTTAACAGATACCAGGCCTGTAAAAGCAATTTAGCCCTGTTTCTTTTTCCCCGCAGAGAAGCTGCAGTCGCACCATTCTCACAGCTTGGCAGGGTTGCTGTGAGTGTGCACAGAACTGTGGAAATCAGGCTGCAGTTCCTAAGTTCTCAAAGAATCTGGAAAAGGCTGGAAACAGCGCTGGGCTGCTGAGGTTGCCCCTAGCGTGGAGCCCTGCAATATGAGGAAACGGGATAAAATCAGRATTCAGTGGATGATGTAATGGATACCCAGTGAATAACCCATATGCTATGGGATGCTGTGATATCCCCCATATGGGAGATTCCTCCCAAGGGAGGGGACACGGTGCCAGCGTGGCCCTTGGCAGCCTTGGCATCCTCATGCCTTAGCCCAGCTCCTAAGGAAATCCGTGTTTACAGCTTAGCTGAATCCTTTTAGTTTCCTTTAATATCAGAGTTGTAGATACAAGGACTTAGAATAGTGATGGGGGACTGGATATTGTGTTGAGCACTGGTTTATGCTAATAATTACATGTTTTATAGCTTTTAAACTATTAATATTGATAATCATATGCTTATGAGTTTCAAATACAGCAAAATCTTCCAGGCATGTACCTATGTGCTAGTGCTTCGCAAAGTCAGTGACCTAACAGTAGGCAGAAACTTAGCAGAAASTGTAAATAGAGCCAATTTATTTATTTATTTTTGGAAAAGGCAAAAGAGAGATGGAAAAGATGTTCTGCTAAACCTTTTCCATCCCACAATATTCTGCTGTGTTGCATGAGAAAATTCATTAATGCTCAGAGCGTTCAAGAAAGGGGTGYAGAGGGGCTGAACAGTCACAAATCCCAGGGGGGACTGGGAAGCTTGTTTTGCTTTGCCCTGGATCAGCATGACACGCGCTCGGTTATGTGCACGGTGATGGGCACAGCCAGCACACGGATCCTTCTGTCCAAGAGACTAAAGCTCTTGCTTTCACCTGAAAGGACAGCACAGAATCCATCAAACGCTGGTTTAAATGACACCTGTAGGGCGAGGTATCTTAGGAAATTCCCAGCTGCACATGCACATCAGAAASTGGTTTCATTTTGTATTAAAAGAGAGACAGCAGTTTAGGAATAAGGGCCATGTAATGTCCTTTCAGCAGAGAAAGACGTGCACATTCTCTGCACAGACAGTCAAATATGAGTCCTAACAGATTCTCTACTTTTACTAATGTATCTTTTCCTGTGTGGAGCTGCAGAATTATCATCTCAGTAAAAGATTTCCTTCTGTTTCGGATTCAATTTTAACTCATTTTTTATTATTTTTAAAATTCTTTTTAATTCCATTTTGTTTCATTTTAGCTTCAGAGCAATCTGGAGCATCAGAGGGCTCATACCTCACTGCACACATGGGAGCAGTTTTTCATGAAAGATTATTCCTGATGATATTCAGCAACCAGGTCAGGTCCGAGAAATAAAAAAATACAAGAAATAAGCTAAGAAAACAACACCTAAGAAAAACTGAGACTATACACAGACTCCTAGGGTTCTAACTAGATTAACTGACATGTTAACTGGGGTTATAACTAGGGTTATGGGCTGTTCTGCTTTGCCTCGACGCTCATTATTTTTTATGTCAATTAGCTGGGGTGCTTTGCAGAACTGCCCAGCTTCTTCTTCGTGGGCTTCTTGCAGCCTCCCAGGCTCCTTGTGCTTGTACCCTAAGGGCAGAACGGAATTGAACACAACCCCAGGGAGTGTTGCCCAGGAGCACTGCAGCTGCATTGCCCATTGCACAGGCAGCAGCTACTCCACTAGAGCCCCGTCGTACTCAGCAAATCTGCATTTACAATCTGGCTGTCACAGTCTGTTGCCACGAGCCCCTCTCAGGCGCAGGAGGGGATCTGYTGCTGCTGCTTGTTTGCTTAAGCACAGGGTGTAAAATCATTTTAAAAGAAATCTGTCCTCTTTAACTCACTGATGCTTTGAAGGAGGCTGTAGCTGACAAGTCAGACTCTCGAAAGGCCTCTGGGAAGACGCTGCTGCAATTGCTCATTCAGCCCTTCTCCACACACCATGTGACTTTTTTTGCTCACAACAAATCTTGCAGGCAACCTTGAGCATCCCTTGAAAATTGTCAATAGACATCCCATTCCTTTATGCTTGCACAGAGCTGCTCTGTTTCATGTTCTGCTGCGTTACTGTAGTGCTGGTTTGAAGGCAGCAAACATAGATTTCTTTTACCCATGACATCAGGAACAGTATCTGTGCACGATCTGGCACAGAAAACCCTCTCCATTTATAACATGTATCTTAGTACTGAGCTGCTTGCTTGAGGGATGCAGCTCTCCTGCACGTAGTCCTCTCAGATGCCACATCTTCCAGCCAGCTCTGATAGAGCAGAGAAGGATGAGGGGATACGGAGAGCCAAAGCGTGACTGACAGCACATGGGTGCTGTTTACTCCAGCTCATGCTGGCCATTCAATCAGGAGAGGAAACAGCAAAAAGACTGACACGACTCACACGTTTGGTGCAGCACAGCACAGCTATCTCAGTAGCAAATCACTTGGAAGAGAGGGCAGGAGACGAAGAAAAACAGGAAGAGTTTTCACCAAAATCTTGGTGCTATTAGGATCTGTAAAACTGGTTTCACACCCGTGACAGGATAGAAATGGTCAAAATCTGCTCTCTGGTCATTAAAAGCAACATCTTGGTCCTATAAGAGGGACTGAGGCTGGTTCTGCTATTTAATCTGCCTGTCCTCCATCGTACGTGTTATTCCTTGTACAATGCACATGACTGCATCCAAATCATTTATTTTTCTAACCAAAATCCTATTTTGCTTCTCCTGGTTCGGGAAGATCCTGAACCACAGAATGTTTGAGGATGTCCCCAAGGAGGTATCACTCCATCCTTGCCCCTTTCTTCCACTCTTCCCCACATGGACAGGACATTAAACTGGATAATCTTGGCGCTAATCTGGGATAAACACTCCTTGTTTATGCTCAGCTGATAAACGAAGCCGTTAGATGGGTTCTCAAATGCATGTGTGACAGCTGTGAAAGGGATTGAAGGAGAGCATGTGTGAAGCCTGCACTGTAACCACAAAGTCAAGGGATGACAAAGGGTTGGATCTCCCCTCGGGAGATCCATGTCTGTGAAGGGAGCTCATGGTGACCAGTCCTACCTGAAACACTTTTCTTACATGCTAAAAAATAACTAAGGGCTGCTTAACCTTTTGTTTCTCTTGCCTAGGTGCATGCGGAGGATGAGCCCAGCCTTCAGGAACTGGCCTGAAAAGGTCACACACAGTTACCCGTGGCCCTTCTTCCCATGCAGCCCCAGTTCATCAACGGGCAGAGTGGAGATGCTGCTCACAGCTCCACGCAGCTGGGCTGCTGGCACACGGCAGCCTTTTGCATATGCTGATTGAACTGCWGGAACATTTATTCACGTCAAAATCCTGCCCTTCTCTTACATGAAGCATTTTCCCCCCTCGTTTTGCTTTCAGAATACTTCTCCCGCTCAGTTATTGGGGTTAAACAACCGTGCAGCCCAGGCATTTCGTTTATGGAGAAAGCTCACAGAGGCATTTGCTTTACGGAGTGAAAGACTGGGGGCAGATTTTGCTCCCCCCCATTGCCCTGGGGGCAGAATCAGGCCCCTCCTGGCAGCAGGGACCCTTCAGAAGAGGTTCCCTGCCCATAGCTGAAGTCTTGTTGCTTCCCCCGACAAGAGAGCTCTGCTCAGGGCGCAGGAGCCATCAGAATATTTGTCTCTTTAAATGCATAGTTTTGCAGAGCCTGCACTGAGGGGCAGTCTCTCCCTCTCTGCGGCTGCGAGGCTACAGAGAAGCCTCCAATAAATCAGCATGCAGGAAGGGAGAGCTCTGTCCTTGAGGAGCTGCACGGCGACCTTGCAGACGCTCCCAGCGCAGGAATAACCGGCGGAATCGGAGGAGCCCGAGCGGCGTGTGACTCCAGGCACCGSGTTCCCGCAGCGCCCTCCGGATGCCCCATCCGGCCGCTCCGCCGCTCCCCTGCCCACATTGCCGCTGTTTTTGCAGGGGGGCTGCCTGAAGCGGGGCAGGCTCGCGCGGCCGCGGCGCACGCCGCTCACGCCGGCGGCGCTCAGCCGCAGCCAGGGCGCGAGCCGGCCGCGATGCGTCTCCGGAGCGGCTCGCCGGAGCGCTGCCGCTGCCTGCAGCTTTCCGCTTTACTTGCCGCTTCCCCCGTCTGGAATATGGAAATGGGATTGGAGTAGATAATTGCAAGCAGCGGGTGTTGCGGAGAGGCTCGGAGGGCGCAGAACGCCTCGCGCCCAGCACGCGCTGCCTGCGCTCTGGAGAGGTGATTTTAGATGTTGCCCACGTCTGAATTGCCCGGAAACTTTCCGCTGGAAGCCAGCCACCCACCCCAGAGCGAACACCCAGAAGGGGCAAGGAAGGGGCAGCAGGGCTGAACAATGGGATACCTTATCCTTGGATTTCTTGTGGAAAAGCCAGCCAGCGTCCCCATCTGCTTCCCAAGGGAAAGGGCATAAAGGTGACCATGGACTGAGCTTCCTCCAGCAGAGCTTCAGCGGCTGCAGGATGGGCTACACGGACCCTTCCTCGAGCAGGGATTTGCTGGGAAACAGAACTTTGTTCTTCATATTCATCTGCGCTTTTGCCGTGGTCACTTTGCTGCAGCAGATCCTCTACGGGAGAAACTATCTCAAAAGGTAAGAGGGGCCGTGAGGGGCTGGAAAAGTTGTCTGGAGAGGCGAATTGAGGCTGGGATGCAGCTGTACCATTACACGGGCTCGCATCCCTGCTCCGTGTTGTGCTGACAAGGTTAATCTCTCTTGGGAAGATGTGTCCAGCATCTGTAATGTCTCTTAGACCGCAAGCAAAAGCCAGTGTTAGGTAGGATTGGATTTGTTTATCTGTTGGACTGTGCTTTATTCTGCAGCTGCTGTAAAAAGCTAGGTTTTACTTAAGTTTCGGGACTTCTGCCAGTGGGATGTCAGCCTGTGGTCAGACTGTGCAATACAGGCTTTTCACCCTATGTAAATTCAAGCTGAAACGGCTCCAGAGGTCAAATTTTTGCAGAAGTCACTTGCCGAAACTTTAATGCTGCTAGAAGCAAAAATGCAGATGCTTTTCYTACAATCAAGGCAACCCTGTTAGTGTTTCAGAGAGCAAGGAGGCTGCTTTACGTTTTCCCTGCTGCCTTCGCATGAATTTACTGCTGAGACTGATTTGCTGTAGATCACATCAGGCTTTGATCTGCAAACGGCCCTGCTCTTATTACAGCAAACACCAGTGGGGAACCTTGAGTGCTTAACCTTGACCCACACAGGGTTTATTTTACTTAAATCTCATTCGAAGATGAGATGGTTATGGTTGGTGTGATTTTTAAAAGGGAATATTTGTTACGTGCTTTGAGGTAAGTGGGTTTCGGTAGCGTAGGTAGCTGCTATGGAAGGTTCTGCTGTAATTGAGCAGTAATTTGCCAAAAGAGATCGATGGTTCAGTTCTTGCCTAGCTTGCAGCTCATCTAGTGCCAAGAGCAAGCAAAATGCTGACAGTCGGAAACTGTTTCTCGCTGCAGGGAATAGCAAGTGTAATAAGAATATGGATAAACAGGAGTGTTGTGGTTATGGATGGAATTTGAGCCCCCTGCTCAGCAGCGAGGCCTTGGCCGGGGGATTCAGGCCAGCGTGGGGCACCTCACTTCCCAAAAGATGCATTTTGGTTGGAAAGAGCCCAGTTGTGGTTGTTTAGCTTGGAGAAAATAAAGGGTAGGAATGATAACCGTCCTGAAATACCCCAACGGTTGCTGCCACAAGGAATGTGGTGAATTGCTCCGATAACCCCTGTGAGGAGAAGAAATGAAGTTACAGCAGGAAAGATTTAGCTCCAGACACGCCGGGGAACTTTTAAAGGGTGAGACTCCCTAAGGAGGTTTAAAATCCCATTTTTGGAGGAGTTCTGGAGTATGTTGGAAGGTGATGGAGTAGCAAGCTCCCTTGTGCTCTGAGCGATGACCTGATGGCCACCTGAGGTCTCACCTGATTTTCTCAGCTCTTCCCACTTGTCCTAAAGACTTTGCAGCCCTAGTCATCCTAAGCACAAACAACTGCGGGGGAAAATAAACCCYGAGCATAAACTGAAATAAAAAACAATAAAGTAGAAGTGAAATATTAGGACAAAAGGACTTCTCAGCTTTTCTTTCCTGCTCTTGGCCTCTCCTTCTGCGGTTTGTCAGGGTTTCAATGTGCCCTTGGCACTCAGCTGGCCGGGGGGAAGCCAAGGGACGGTGCCCAGGTTGCTCCATGCGGAGGTTTGTGCAACCTTCACCCAGTCTCTTCTTTCCTAAACCCCTTGCATTAGGGAAGGACAGGCAGGAGAGGCTGCTCCGGGAAGGAAATTCCATGGTAAGTCCCCTCCACGCAGGGAAATTCGGGAAAGGCGGCAGAGCCCTGGTAGGGTCTTTCCTGGCAAAAGGAGAGGACATTGCAATTTGATTTATAGCCATTCCCATGTTTTTTTCACACACTGTACAACATTCCTCGCTCCTTCCCCTGCTGTTTTGTGATGTGCCATGTGCATGTGGAAGGCCAAATCCTGCTTGCTCACCCCTTTTTCCCCCGGGTTTCATCCAGGAGGGATGGGTGGCTCTYGGCAAACGTCTCATCCTCTCACGAGCAGCTAAACCCGAGCGGGAAGGGAGACTCTTAAGCCTGAAAACGACACTGAGAAACTCTGGTCTTTGYAGCTCTTCATCCCGAGTGAAAAAAGTGATGAAATGAGATATAATTAAGGGGCTTTAATACGGATCTCTGGGGTAATTATTTTTATTTGAGGATTAATATGTTGATTAAAAATCCRCCGCATTGATCTGCTAAAGTAGGTTAAATGCTGTGGACTTCCGCTGAAATCCAGAGCTGCAGCTCGCTGCGTATTGATTCATCCTTCCAGGGCTCAGCTCGCTGCTGAATTTTCCTTTGAATCAGATGCTCAGCTGAGGTCTGGCCTCTTTTTTATGGTGAGCCTTGCTTGGCCAGCAGGGAGTAATGCTGGATTACATCAGGAAGCTGCCATAAAAAACGTTGAAATGGTCACTGAAATGGTCTCATCTCCCAACCTGTGGCATTGAGATCAATAGGAGAGTCCTTGCCTGCTTTGGCAAGTCAAAACTGTCAGAATTTGCTGTATATTTTTGCAGATATTTCCTGTATATCTTTATTCTTTTGGCAGGGACCCTGCTAAATACAGATTTTCTAGCAGCCTGATTTTTGCACACAGTGAGAATCAGCTGCAGAAAAGAATCTTTAAAAATGCTTTTTTTTCCCTCCCTTTTTTTTTTTTTTTCCCCAGGCCACAAGTGAGAAGAACTTATTTTAAAAGCTATTAAAAAATTTAAACAAAGGCTACGCTGGAGTGCGTTGAGGGGGAAGCATGCAGTAATTCAATCACACAGCAAGAACCAGTAAGCCTTCCTATGGAGGCAGCCTGCCTTATTTGAAAGCTTTAAGTCTTTTAAGTGAGAATAAAACATCACTCCTCCCTACGTATGTGCACCCTGTAATTACTGTCCTACTCTTCGAGCTTGAGTTGATACCACCATGTTGGTATTTCCGAAGCAGTTYTTGTCCAGCAGTTGCAAGTCCTTTCTGAGACAGCTTTTATGCCTTTCCTCACCCTTGCAACTTAAAGAGATGTTATGATCAACTCTTGCAAAGGATGGGCAGACGAGGAACAAACCCCAGAAGCCAAGGCTGGACTAGACCTTGCGGGGTCACTTAGTGCAAGTTGGGCACAGGGGCTGCATGAGGCTGAGCTGCACGTTGGCCTAAACTGTGGTGCTGGGGACCTGCAGCTAACTCATGTCCTCTGTTCTTGACATCCTCCAAAGATGTTACCCTTCCTAAAACAAGCTCTTCCAGGGCTTTAACTCCCCTTCCACGTAAATATTTTCCCCAAGAGATGCTGCTGAAGGTCACCTAGTGAGTCATCTCTCTAACACACAGTCCTGTGTCCCCTCCATTTCCAACCAAAGTGGAATACTATCCCTGGGAAATGGCACGTGTCCCGTGAGTCACCACGCTGAATCCTGAGCAGGTTTTGTGCAAAGSAGCTCTTGGGTTTTCCCAATTTTATACAGAGGAGAAGGGAACAGAGAACTTCAGGAGAGAGCAAAGCCCAACTTCCCAGATTTTCCTCTTGTTCAGCCTATCTACCTCACTGATTTCCTACATCCTCCTATGACTAGTGCGTACCAGATGTTGCTGGTCCTGCTGTAGGTGGTTTMTTTAGTGCACTGAGCTTCTCTCCAGCACAAGAAGCTGTTGTTGGTTGTCCCTGCAGCAGCTCTGCACATAGCCCCGTGTTGCTGGAAGGAATTTCTCACTCTGTTCTCTCCAGATGTGCTGGACTGGATCCCGACTGTTTGCACACCATGATCTCCTCTGATGCCACATACACCAATATGTCTATAAGCGGAGTATGCACCTGGCATGGGGCACATTATCTTAAGATGACTGGATCTAGTCTAGGGTAGGAAGAGCAGTGTAGGGACATGCAGCCATATGGGGAACTCCCYGGGAATGTTCTGCTTTCCAGAGAGCCATGGGGACCTGCGAGGTGGCATCACCATCGTGTCCAACTCACCCTGCAAAGGCAGGAGTGGAGACAGCTGGAAAAGGGCTGGAGAAGGTCGCTCAGCTGCCTCCAAAGCCCCTCCTAGCTGCTGGTCCTATTCCCTTTCTCATTCTTTGCTGTTGGTTGCTTTACATAATGCCCATGTCTTCCTAGACGAAGTAAAAGGAGGGACCTTGCAAGTACCTGAGCTGTGAATAAAAGCTCTGCAAAAACTCGCACGCGTTGGCAGTTCTATCGCAGGTCGCCACCGAGGCTTTTCTTGTGAAAAAGGTCCCCAAATTGCTTTTTTATCCTCTGTCACCTGAAGTTTTTTTTCTGACATATCCCTTCCCCTGGCTTTTTAAGAARAGCATCAAGTGGCAAAAGTTGAAGCCTCAGTGCTGTCTGTGGCTGAGATGGAAAAGGCAAGGCAGCATTTGAACCCTTGCTCCCCGGAGACTTAATTTATTACGGACATTATTCTCTTGCACTTCTGTTGCTGAAATGACAAAACCCCCTTGCTGATCCATCCCCGTGAATGGCCAGTCCGTAGCCCTTCCCTAGGACACAGTAATCTAAAGTAACTAAAATCTCCTTTTTCATTTATCCCATTTCTCAAATGCATACAAATTGCATTAGCCTGCCTTAGCAAAATGGTGTTGAGTGGCTAATGATGAATTAATAACCRATTAATACAGGATCAATTAAATCTTCATTCTGATCCACAGAACTGCCAGTAGCAGCTCACTTTCCTCCCTCTCATGTGGGGATCTAGGCCTGCTTTTGTCCTTTCAAATAGATCTTTCTTTAATAACTGATTATAACCTGCTGCTTACTTTTTACCCTCATTTTGAAAAATGTGGATGTTTGCTCTACGTGTGTGTGAGCAGGTGTGAAAAGCAATGCTACCTACATCCGTGCAAAGTGAGATCCATCAATGCAGTGTAATCTGTGCTGCTCGCCCGCTGCCCGTGTGCTCCTCTAAACGTCCTCGCCCACGTGTGACGTGGTAGGAATTCAAGTGCAGCAGGGAAAGGCCCGTGGAGCAGCGTGAATAACTATCACAGTAAGGAAGAAACCTGATTGTCTGGGAGGA